CGCAATCCCACTCGCTACGCACTGCGAAAACATTTTCACTGTGGCTTCCTGCGCTACTTTGTGGCAGTTAATAATGCCGCTGCTTTATTGGCCAGCTGATGGGTGATCAGAGGGTGGTGTGGGGGAGGGGGAGGGTGGGGCGGCATGCTTGTCAGAGTCGCTACTTTGGCATTAATAATGACAACTCGTTTACTGCCCCCGCATCAAAATGTAGCTCAATGTCTGACTTACAGAGCCATAAGCTAAAGCTCCACAAAAGCCAGCGCTTATTCAGGCAACACCCCGCCCCGTCTGCCCTCTGTCGGCAGCCGCCCCTCTTCATCCTAATTGTTGTGGCAGCAACTGCGGCAAGTGTATAAAATAAAATGTTACCCCTGTGGCAGCTGATAAGACCTTGTCTGCCGTGTCTGTCTGCCCGCCTGCCAGTCCGTTAAACCAGCGCCAAGCTGCAGACGCGCGTTGCGTTTCAGTGCAGCGTCTCCCTCCCCCCTCACTCCATCTCCCCCCCCCCCCTGCCCCTGCCCCCTCGCTCGTGAAGTGCTGTGCACAGGCAAGTGCCTATGCTCAAGTTGTTGCTAGCTGAGCGGCCCTTAAAAGTTATACCCCCGATTATAATGCAGTCCTTGGCGGAGCCTAATGACTTTCTCATCATTTTCGGCACTTACCTGAAGCCGAGGCTTTTCGGCTGTAAACAAGGCTAATACCAGATTAAAGTGGACCGTTAAATGGATTTTCAAGCAGCTTAAATATAATTTTTTAATTTTAAGACTGCAACCAAATTGTTTGCCATCAACTATTTCGATTAACTCAAGGGGTTAAACGCCGATTTTTTAATATCAATTTAACAAAAAGCAATTCTTTTGATTTTCACAACAATATTGTTATCGATTATTGCATAATGTTATCGATTGACAACCAAAAAACAGGCTTAAAATCGAAATGAAGGTAAAATATTTTCTTTTACATTTTTCAACATACAAAAATTCATTTCCTTTAATAACTTTTCTAGGGCCGAGGTGCTGAAACCTCGGGTTCTCGATAACAATTTTACAAATTGCAGTAATCTCTATTATTGACTTTGCCAATGTTATCGATTGTTAAAGTTGTAAAGCCAGCAGCATATCGAAATAGGGGTGACATTTTTTACTCCTCCTACTACTTCGATAGGACCAGGGTACAACAGTTCTACAAATTGAAATCTTTTCCGTTATTTACTTCTTTAATGTTATCGGTTGTTAAAGTTGTAAGGCCACCAATTAAAATTGTTTACCTATCAAATAACTTCTCCTTTGACTACTTCGATAGGACCCGGGCTTAACAGTTTTACAAATTGCAAGTTTTTACTACGATAATGTTATCGATTATTGTTGATGCAATACAAAAAACATCTACGAAAACGAGAAAAATTCATAATATATTTTTTAATTCGCCAAAATACTTAGATAAACTATTTTGATAAGCGCAAGAAACTATTATCTAGGTTTTTCGGTAACAGTATTACGACTTACAATTTTGAAGATTTTTGTTACGATAATTTGATCGATTGTTATAGTCGCAAAAACTGTTAATCTTTTTGTATATAATTTTTTAACTCAACAAAATACAAAATCGATTTATTTATCGAATGCAAGTTTATCGACGATAATTACGACGATAATTTCATTGATTATTACAAGCACAACAACAAGAAGAGCACAAAGAAAAAGACTTACGAAAAGCTCTGAATATTTAGCTCCCCCCTTGTACCCGTCGTACCCCTTCTACTCCTTGCCCTCAGACGAAGGACCCCAGATAGGAACTCCGGAGTTAAGCGCCATGTATAAATGCGGTCACACTTATGCTGTATTCTATTGCCTCTTCTCTTTTAATAGCCTCCTTAGCCAAACAGCAGCATTTTTTGTCTGTGTAGGACTAATAAAATGAAGCTAATGTGCTTATGTGTGGTTTATAGTTCTGAGATTTCTGTAATCCCTACATAATTTCCATTGTGGCATGCAACATGTTGAGTGCCTGCCTGTCGCTACTTCTGCTTCTGCTGTTGCTAGTGTAAAGTCAGTTCGTGGCATACCTAATTCCACTCGCAGTTGTTGTTGCTGCTGCTGCTGTCATTGTTGCACCTGCCAGCTGCAACTTGAGTTTAACTTGCAAGTTGCAACTTTTAACGGCATTTTAGCTGTTGATAGTCCAAAAGTTGGCAACTGGTTTTCTGTTGTTCAGCAGTTATCGCTAAGTTGCGGCATTGACTGCGCCTTTGCCTGGTCGACTAGTAGCTGGTACCTTAATTAGGACGCAGTTCATACCCCCCTCCCACTGCAAGAGCCCCTTTCCCTTTCCCTTCCACCCCGGACAACTGCCAGTCATTTCATGCTTTGGCTACACGCAAATCGTTAGCTTGTTTACATTTTAGCCATGAATTTTTGATGCGGCTTTGGCTCAAGCTTTGCCACTTTAAAGTGTGGCATGTAAAGTACAAACAAAAATAGAAAACGGTAGAAAATCTCAGTCGGGTGTAAACGACTGCTTAATACTCTTTTACAGTGTAATGACAGCTTAAGAGATTTGAGGAAATAAGCTGTCCTGACAAAACAAATAAGAAACTAAGTAAACGATTATAAAAACTAAGACTTTCCCCTAAAGTTGAACCAGCGACTTCTCGCTTGCTAGTTCAACTCCTCAACAGCTTAGCCACACAGGCTCTAGATGTCACATTTCCAAAGGACAAATATGTGACTGCGTTGTTTTTGTTGTTTCTTTCCCGATTTGCCCCACTTAAACCTCAAATTATACATAACCTCGTCTTACTCAGACCCAAATGGAAGAGTTTCAGTCTTTAAGCTCTTGCGACTTGTTCAGTAAGTATATAGAGTATATGTGGGCGAGGCTTAAAAAGTTTGACATTCCTATTAGAGCTCACAAAACCAATATACTCCCTTTCGCTTTGCGAGCGAGCATAAAAAGCGGAAAAACACACATTTCATAAACACACGCACACACGCACAATATGTGTCAGCCGGCATATGCTCTGCGTTAAGGTGATAGGCGGGGCGGGGCGGGGGGCGTGGCTTACAGCAGCGGCCACATGCGGAAATCACTAAAGGCATTTCCTGTCGCAGCGCCAACAAATGCTGTAAAAATCATGAGAGCAGCACGCAGCTAACATTATGTTTGTTGTTGTTGTTGTCGTTGTTGTTGATGTCGTTGTTGTCGTTGTTGTTGTTGTTGTTTTTGCTGTTATACCTATGCAGAGATATATAGATAAGCCGCGCACGATAAACGTGCTTAGCGCTGAGCCGAGGTCAATGGGTCGTCGCTTTAAATGCTGCTTCTGCTCCTGCTCCTGCTGCTGTTGCTTCTGCTGCTTACAGCAAATGTCAGCCATACTTGTCATAATATGGCCACACTACAGCACACACACACGCACACACCCGGGCCTTGCCATCAAATGCCGCAACACTTTGGCGCTCTCGCCCGCTTTCTCTTCGAGTCTGGCATTCGAAATGATGCAAACAAACCTCACAAAACTCAAGACTCCTGCATGTGTGTGTGTGGCATATTTCTAAAAGATTCTGACACATACACACACACACACACACACACGCCCATTCTGGACGCAGCCATGCAAAATATGCCGACATTAAATAACTTCAATCTACTCTAAAGAACTTGTTTATGCTGCTTTCCCCCAGCTCAGCCCCGAGGCCCCAACCACACCCCCCCGGCCCGCTCCGCCCCCTGGGCTATGGCTAGGCGCGCTTTTTGACATCTTAGCTAGCAGGAATTTATGTGGGAATCTGCCTTGTAAGTGTGTGTGCGTGTGTGTGTGTGAGTGTGGGCAGTATTTGTTGTAGCATACATTTCAGCTAGAGCTTTCACTTGAATAGTTTGTATACATGTGTCTGTGTGTGTAGACACATGTATATGGCTTTTAAGCAGCTGCTTCTTGTCAATTTCTTCATCTTTCTCTTTGTCGCAGTCTCTTTTGTGTAAGCTGCGATTTGCATTGCATCAGAGGATTTGCCATGTCCAAGATGTGATCACTGCAATCCCTGCTTCCCGCTTTGCGGATAACTTTCCTAATGGCCTTGAGTGCTGACCAGAAAGCAACGAAATCAACTCTCGACGACATTTCCAATGTAAATTGACAGAGTTTTTAGCCCAAATCAATATTGATTCTATGCAAATGTGCATGCATGTGTGTTTAATGCGAGCACAGAGGGCAGCCCGATCCACAGCTTTTAATATCTAGTTCTTTATATACTTGGGAAATATTAAACTTTTCAATCTTCAATAAAGTAAACAAACTTAAACTTTTCATTAATTATTTTTTACAAATTTTTGACTTATCTCTATACTGTCTATCTGACTGACTGATTGGTGATCAATGGTACTCTCAAATATCCTATATAGACATAGGTCAAAATTTCCCACTCCCATAACTTGGTCAAATCTCATCCGATTTTCATTGGGTCTGGCTTTCTGTACATGGTTTGGCCTCTAGATCAATTTGGCATCTAAATCTGGCAACAATATTTTTGGTCGAAATTCATGTGAAAATGGTACCCTCAAATATCCTATATAGACATAGGTCGAAATTTCCCACCCCCTTAACTTGGTCAAATCTCATCCGATTTCCACGAGTTTTGGCTCTTTCTTCATAGTTTGGGCTCTAAATCAATTTGGCATCAAACCCGGGAAACATTATTTTTGGTCAAAATTCATGGTACCCTCAAATAGGTCAAAGCTTCCCTCCACCATAACTCGGTCAAAACTCAATAACTATTTGGCCAGCTTAACTAACACTAACTTCTCAAGCTACCCTCGCTCTAAAAAATTGATTTTAACTGCAAGCTAATTTATTAGTTCAAATATTTTCCTCACACACGCAGCAAAGCGTTTAAAATAAAGCATATTTAAAGAAAAAGCGACATTTACATTTCGTATACGTAATTAATTTTATTCATGGAAAATTTTATCGTTAGCAAAGAAAAGAAAGGAAAATATTTGTGGCATGTGAAAAGAAAAGCGACGCCAAGGGAGCTCATTTAATAATTCTCTTAAAACTAAACTTATATTTAAGCATATATAGCAATTATTTATATATATATATAACTGTACAATAGAATTGCCCAAAATTAACAGCTGGAATTTTGGGACACTTTATTTGGCACAACAATTGACTAAAAATAGAAATTTTGGTTTTTACTGCCGTATGAAAATATTTACAATGAGCTTGCAAAATGCTGCAAATTTACAAGTGAGTGTGAGAGAGAGAGAGAGGAAGAGTGAGAGAGAGAGAGAGCAATGCACTTTTCAAGCACTTTTGTTGTCACGACAAAAGTGTACAAAGTACCAAAAAAAAAAAGAAAAAATAGAACAATTTGTATTTCTTATGCCTTCTGCTTGGTCGAAAATATAAAAATTACTTCGTTTTACATTTACAAGCTGGTCTAAGGATAAGTATCGAGCCAGGATGTGTGTGTATATATGGGGAAAAATGGGTCACGCAGTGCCCCGACAAGCAATAACACTTGACGCACGTTCGGACCGAGCGGAACGTGCCCCAGACGCAGCCACTCAGGTGGTTTTGCTGTGGCAAACACCCAAAAAAAAAAAAATAAATAATAAAAAAATACCAAAAAACTAGACGAAACTCTCCTGACGTGTTAAATTCAATTTCAACGTCGTCGCCGGCAAGGTCCTCGTTGTCCTCGTTGTCCTTGTTGTCCTGCTGCTGCTGCTCGCTTGAGCCTCGGGCGTCTGGTGGCTGCTGCTAAATGCTGACCCATCGGCCACGCCCCCGCCCCCGCCCACGCCGACGCCCACGCCCAGCAGCATCTGCTCCCGCTGATGTGCTTGAAGCAATTGTCGCGCCAGATGCGAAATGTCGCCGCTGTAGCCGCCGCTCTGATCCAACTGGCTCGAGCTGGACGAGCGTCCGGCCGCTGCCAGGGATTGTCGCAGCAGATCCGGTAGATGCCACTGCTCCAGCAGCTCGGCGCCGAGCTGATGCGAGTCCTGGACAAGCCGTGTCAGCGTATAGAGTATCGCCTTAATGCTGCGCCGCTGGGCATCGCATTCGGCACGTGAGTCGTAGGTCTTGTAGAATTCCGTTTGGTAAACGGACGTGATGAAATTTATGATGATGCCATTGGCCAAGTGGCTGTGGCACTTCTTGTTCAGCGACATGTTGTGCAGCATCCCAACGATTTGCTCCTGTGTGTGTGTGTGTGTGTGTACAACGATAAAAGGACACAAAAAAATGTTGATGAGCAACAAAAATAAAGAAAAGGAAGCAGAGAGAAAATGCTCACAAGCAGCAGGCGGTCAATCTGCCAGTGTGTGTGCGTGTGTGTGTGCGGGTGTGTGTGTGTGTGTGTGTGAGTGTGTCTGTTGAGCCAAAGGCAAATGAAAAATCGTGGCCAAGATTGTGAAAAAATTGCTTTGCAAATGCACAAATAAATTTTACGAGCTACAAGCAATGCTTTCAATAAAATTGCTCACGACCAGGGCTGAAGAAATGCTGAATGGAACTAGTGTAAACAAATAGTTCCAAATATATCTTCAATTTATTCCCAAATTTTACATTGACGCTGCCTGAGAATGCAAAGTGATTAACATAGGCATAACTTAACCAAAGGAAATGAATCCAAATGACATCCACAATGCGAAATGGAACTAGTGCAATTGGAATTGGAACTAAACGAAAGCAGGACTGGAACCGATTCCGAAAAGGAACTGTAAATTGTATAGAATGAATTAAGCCTGAAATGGAAGCAGGAATGGAACCTCAACTTGAAACACACGATGAATATCCCAAGGAATTTACCAGAACGAACCAGTAGTTCACCAACTAGTTCCCCAGCCATCGTAGGCCAAGAGCTACTCCGATTGAAAGACTGAATGGACTTTGGCAATAATCAAGCTTATTAAAATAAATGGCCGCGGACGCATGAGATGTTCGCATACTAGTTCATACACTAGTTCCACAGCTAACCAGTTCCAGTTTGAATCCTAACCATAAAACCACTTTAACTACTTTGAATACCAGGCTCTGTCAGGACTTAATGAACACCTCAAGCCGCCTATTCGAAACATCCCAGATGGAACCAGTAGTTCACACACTAGTTCCACACTCAGCATAGCTGCTAGTTCCACTTTAACTATTTTTTATACTAGATATTAGGCTCCCCCAGAACTTGGCAAACTCTTGCAAAAAAGTTCCCAAAAACCAGTGGTTCACGTACTAGTTCATACACTAGTTCCACACTCAGCATAGCTGCTAGTTCCACTTTAACTACTTTGAATACTAGATATTAGGGACCCCGAGGATTTGATGAATACCTCAAACTACCTGTAACAAAGTTCCCAAACCGAACCAGTAGTTCACTTGCTAGTTCACACACTAGTTCCACAAGTATCTAGTTCCAGTTTGAGTACTAAGCTTTAGGTTCTCCCTGGACTTGAGTAATACCTCAATCTACCTGTTTTGAAATTGTCAGAACGAACTAGTAGTTCACACACTAGTTCCAAAAGTATCCAGTTCCAGTTTGAGTACTAAGTTCTATGTTCTCCCTGGGCTTGATGGATACCTCAATCTATCTATTACAAAATTACACCAGTTCACACTCTAATTCACAAACTAGTTCACACACTAGTTCACACTAGTTCCACACCAGTTCCACACACAGCACAACTGCCTACCAGCCCTGTCGTCCTTTGGGCAAAAAGCTACTTACATAAAGAAATACGCTGATGCCGCTGCCCTGATGCTCGAGCGTTGAAATCAGCTTGAAGATGGCCTCGTTCGACATGATGGAGTAGTGCGAGGTGACCTCCATCCGGCTGAGATTGTTGAGTGCTGCGGCGCACAGCAGCAGCGTCTGTTCGCAGCAGTCCGGCTGCAGCAGATCCGCCAGCCCGGCAACCAGAGTCTCGGCGCAGTCCCTTAGCCCGGCCACACGATGCTCCGGCCCGTGCCAGCTGGCCGTGATCTGGGCGAGCAGCGAGACGGCCTCGCGTCGTTCGATGGCGCCGCGCTCCTGACTGCCGCCGCCCGGCTGCAGTATATCGCGGACAATCTCGATGCCGCCGCAGTTGCCCAGCTGGGCGATGGCTTGCGGGGCACAGCAGAGCGTGGCCAGAGCGCGCAGCGCCAGGGCGCGCACCGAGCTCAGCTTGTGATCGAGGACGATCAGCAGCAAGGCGCGCACCGCCTCGTTCTGGACAAAGGCATCCGCCAGCGAGCCGAAGCCGTCGTAGTCAATGTTCATCAGCGTGGCCAGCATATTGATATTGGCGCGCAGCAGCAGATCGCAGCGGCTCTGCTCGATGGCCACGACCAGGATGCGGGCGAGCCGCTCAAAGATCAGCCGCAGCGTGATCAGCGTATGCCGCCGGAGCAGCTGCACATCGTCCAGCAGCGACTCCAGATTGATATAGTGCTGCCTTTCCACCGAATAGCGCGTATCCCTGCCCACCGTGCGTATCTGCTCCAGATGCTGTTCGTAGCGCCTGCGCTCCACGCGCGCATCATTAAAGAAGATGCTGCGACGCTCCAGCACGCCGGTGAACTCCTCCAGATGCAGCAGCAGCTGCGTGGCGCCCGCCAGCGCCTCCGGCAGCGACGTCGTCGGCTGCGTGGCGCCGCTCAGGACGCGCTCGCAGCGCTCGAAGTGCGACTGCAATTGGAGCGCCTGCTGCTGCAGCTGGCGCATCAGCTTGGCCACCGCGCTCGTCGTGATCGTGTAGTTCTTGTACGCCTCCTGGGCAATCGATTTGTGCTGCAGCATGCACATGACCTCCGGCTCACAGTTCCAGCGCTGCTCCGAGCGCCAGCTGTGCGCCGCCTGCAACTGTGCTGCCGGCTTCGACTTCGACTTGGGCTTGGGCTTGGGTTTGGGCGTGCTGGTGCTGGCCGTGAAGCAACTGCGCAGCGGCGACAGCGGCTCCTCCTCCTTCTCCTCGTGCTCTCCAATCCGCTCCAAGCTGCCAAAGGTAACGGTTTCGTTGTTGTAGGGCGGCGGCGCCTCGCCCAGGTACACGGTCTCGTTGTTGTACGGCGGCGGCGGCGTTATGGGCGTCTCCCCGTCGCTGGCCGAGTGCTCCTCCTCCTCCTCGGCCGCCAGCTTGGCGGCTTTGCGCGCCAGGCGCTTGCGTCGTCGCACTGCAGGGCGCGGGGGCGTGGCCGGGTTGATAGTCAACTGCTTATCGTCGTCAAGCTGCAGGCTATCCAGCTGCACAAACAGGCGACTGTGACTCACCTCCAGCTCCTCGAGATCCTCATCCGCAGCTGTCTGTTTGGGTGTCGTCTGCATTCCGCTGAAGGATATGCGACGCGTCACGCTGACCAGCGGCGAGTAGAAGGACGAGTTGCCCACGCGACGGATGACAGTGGGCGGCGTGGCCACCGAACGTAACGATGTGGGCGAGGCAGTGGGCGTGCCGCCATCCGTGGCAGCCGCAGCTGTTGCCGTCTGGCTATTGTGCTGCTCCTCGTTGTCCGAGAAGCCCGAGTCCTGCGGGCGGCACAAACAAAAGCAAGCAAATTTTGAGATTAGCGCACAGATAACGTTAATTGGGCGTGTTTCCATTTAGCGGAAGGGTTAGGAAATGTATATGGAACGAGGTGGAATGGAATGGGCAAGGCACATTAATGAAAGTTGTAATATTTATTTATTAATATTAAAAAGGGAAATAAATAATAATAATAATCAGAATAGAAGTCAGGAAGGAACGTTGGAATCAAACGAAATGTTAGTTTAAGATAAGTAAGAATCGTGAAGATGTGGAGGATATTTCAGCTGAAACGTTGGAATGAAACACTTATATTATGTATTATTCCAACGTTATATTTCCCTTCAGCGTTCCAGCTATTTGGGGGCTCAGCACACGGAATATACACGAAATTTGTGAAAATGAAACTGGAACGTTGGAATGAAACATAGCTTGAGTTAGATTAGTAGCGAAAATAACCATTTAATGGTAAAAGGATGGCTTAAACATGGGTTAGAAGTAAATTTCAGGAATGAAACATCACTTAATTTTGTTTGTTGAAAAGGTTTTAAAAGAGGAAATAGAATAAAATATAACATGAAATCCGTTAAAAGTTAAGCAATAAAATGCGAAAATTACACAGAAACGTTGGAATGAAACATCATTTAATTGACAAGAGTAAACTAAGTTTATTTCAGTGTTTCAAAAGAGAAAATAAAGGGAAATTAACAACGATTTCGGTAAAAATAAAACAGGAACGTTGGAATGAAACATCACTCAAGATTTTTAGGGGGAAAAATGACCACAAAATGGCGAAAATGTGGCCTGAAAGAGGGAATGGAAGGAAATATGACACGAATTACGATAAAGACGAAACAGCAAATCCTAAAAAGGAATTAGGAACATTGGAATGGAACAGCACTTGAATTAAATAGAGGAAACCAAATGACAAAATGAACTAAAAATGTTTTAAGAGAAGGAATAATAGGAAATAGAAAACGTATTCGCTTGCAAGAAAAACGCTTCGTTTATGGAAATGGGAAGACGCGCGCTTAATCTGCATTTTGAGGGGCTGCTGAAAATATGTACATATATATTTTGATAACGCACCTGACTGCGCAGACTGCCGGGACTGTCGTGCTTGTGCCAGGACATCTTGGAGCTGTTCTGTTCATCGTCCACCTCCTGTATGCTGGACAAATTGCCAGCCTGTTGGCCCAGATGCCGCTGCAGAGCGCTGTCCAGCGATGCGGGCTGCGGCTGTGCCATCTGCTGGTTGCCGACTTTGTAATTGTAATGCGAGTAGAGGCCGCCGCTGGTGAAGCTGCTGCTGCTGCTGCTGCCCGTCTGTTGGCTATCGGAGCCCCACCAGACCTTGCTGTAGCTGCGCTGAAAGGACATGCCTGCCGCACAGATAACGCAAAATAAAGAGAGAGAGAGAGAGGAGAATGGGAAAAGTTGATTATCATGCAAATCAGTTGTGTGTCAATCATTTAATAATAAATTGCCGCATTTTGTAGAACCGCTTTAAATTCATTAAATTTAATGCAATTGACGCCCGCTTCATTTACTTTCAACACGCCCCCCAGAGGCGAACGCCCATTTGGCATTGGCCAAATGTCAACAACTTTGCCAATGGCCCGAATAACTTTTAAACCAAACACGCACAAGGTAAATAAGGTCTGGACCAGACACACACACACACACACACACACACACACACACACACACGTATAGAGATACACCCACACATACAATACATATATTAATATCCGTTACAGAAAAAATTAAATTTCCGCCCAGCGACACAAATCATTATTTTAATCAATATACTACGTCTGACTTTGCGGCTCCGGGGCACTCTGGCGCTTTTTTGGGCGCTCTGGAGTTCGGCGGAGCTTTGTTGTTTGTTTGTGTGCGCGTTTGCTCAACTAACTGACCCGAACGAGATGTCAGTTAACACAATTTAAGAACAGGACAGACAAACAAAAAAAAAGCTACGGTGAGAGATAAGCGCGTGCTTGAGCACGAATTGCGTGCGTGTTCGTGTGGGAAAACATTTAAACGAAAAGGTGGTTAAAAATAACAAAGCAAATTGGTTTTAAGCGCGTATTCATCAGAAACCGAAACTTAAAATAAATATTTATAAATTCCCTAATTACAATCAATAAAAAAATATGTATGTAAATATAAAATATTTGATGATAAATTGAAGAAAATTTGAAGAATTTGGCTTCATGAATGAGTGAAAAACTCGTGTTCGTGTCGTGTTCATGCCCAATATATATCAAGCACGAAGCCAGCTAGTCTGGTATTTTGTAGTAAAAACAGGTATCTTTTTAATACGCCGCATTTGGTCACACTTTTTGTGTTTATTTCAAGCAAATCGTGCTCGTGTTCGTGTCGTGCTCACGCTCAATATATATCAAACACGCAGACAGCAAGTCTGGTATTTTTTTAGTAAAAAACTAGTATCTTACTAATAAACAGCATTTGGTCACACTTACTGTGTTTATTTTATACAAAACTTGCTCGTATTCGTGTCGTGCTCGTGCTTAGTATACATATCAAGCACGAAGTAAGTCCTTCTGGTATTTTGTAGTACAAACAAGTATGTTATTAATAAACAGCACTTGGTCACACTTTTTGTGTTTATTTTATACAAAACTTGCTCGTGTTCGTGTCGTGCTCGTGCTTAGTATGCATATCAAACACGTAGTCAGCCCTGAACAGAACATTTGTTTAAGGTTTTAGTTTAGAGAAGGAGGGAGTGGAAAGGGAAGGGGATGTAGGGAGGGGGGTTTTCAGAAGCAGGCTTAATGCAAAGTTGCTGTTATCAAAATGGCATTTGACATATGGCAGACATAATGAGGCCAAAGGACCACAGCACCAACAGATTCCCAACTCCCTCTCTCTCTCGCTCTCCCTCTCTCTCTCTCTCTCGCTCTGTCCCGCTCGAGTCTGTCCAAATGTAGTACATATATAATTGTGTTATAATTTCAAAGTAATTGATGTGATGCCAAATTGTGGCCAGGTATTTATGCAGATTTTACAGCCCAAATGACTCTTTGCCAGGCCGAACCAGAAGCCGGACCCGGACCTGGCCCGGATCTGTCCCGGCCAGCAGCTGTTTGTGTGCCGTAGCTGTAAATGCAAATGTTGGCCAAAAGCATTTACGCTATATTATGCAAATGAAATAAAGTAATTATGCCCCGCACATTTGCAAACATTTTTTGGGGTTTATGCGACTCGCAAATAATTTTTGCGGCTTTGCCGCGTTGACAGCAAAATATACATATATCTCTGTGCATAGTGTATTCGAATAGTTTGCTTCTGTTTGCGGCTTTCGCTTGTTTTAGCCTGGTTAACTGCTTTTTCGGTTATTGTTTTTAGCATAATTACAATGTAACAAACATTTTTGTCTGGCGGCTAAAACGCAGCAATTGCCACCAAATTGCATTTGGCTGACTGTGGCAAAAAGTATGCAAACATTTTTCGACCATCTCTTTTTTTTCTGTTTTTTTGGCACTTGCGCAAATATTTACAAAGTATATTTCAGCAAAATACATTTAATATTTGGCCATAAAAAACGTTGAGCGCAAATTTAATGCAAATTTCGTATTCCGTATTTCGTATTGCTGGCTGTGTAAATATTTACAAATAAAATGCCCAAATGGATGCACTCGAAACAATAAAAACAATCACAAAATGTAAAGAAAAGCCAAATTGAATTAATAAAAGCAAATGTTTTGCTCGAGCAGCGCGTTCAAATTCAAATAACATTTTTAATATCAATTATTTGCAAGCAACAAAAATATCAGCAGTAATATATACATATATATATCTCATATATATGTATAAATAAATATATCTGTTGATCTAATAGAGTTATTCTCTTTAAACTTTGTTATTCTTCCTTTTCTTGCGATTCCTGAACTTGAACTGGCGACCTCTCCAAACATTTCCTCTTGTTGCTTTCTTTTTGCGTCTGATAACAAATTAAAAAATAAAAATTATTGCTTAATTTGAACTGGCGACCTCTCTTGTGTCTGATAACAAATTGGACAAGCAAATGTAGATATTAAAACTATTGCTTAATTTGAACTTGCGACCTCTCCAAATATTAATTATCGTCGCTTTCTTTTGTGTTTAATAACAAGCCGAATAAACAAATTTAACTAAATTAAAAGTATTTCTGAATTTGAACTGGCGACCGCTCGCGTGCTGGTCCGACGCTCAGACATTTCTTGTATGCCTTTTCATCGTATTTTCTGTCAGTGCAACGTGGCTGATTATCTGCACTGACCCTGTACCCATTGAAAACGTGTATAAAGGGTATATTGGTTTTGTGTAAATGTGTGTAACAGGCAGAAGGAAGCAGATCCGAGTCCATAAAGTATATATATATTCTTGATCAGCATCAAGAGCCGAGTCGTTCTAGCCTGAACCTATAACACGCTTCACGACTTTGTCCGATAATCGATTACTTTGCAAGCAATCGATAAGAATCGATATCGAAGTCCTATTAAGCTTCTGAAATAGTTTATTCAGATCAAGTATCTTTCATTGCCCCTGGTAGAAGAAAGTGCAGGGTATTCCCTAGTCGGGCACTTCCGACTTAGGCACTCTCAATTGTTAATTTTTAACTTTGCGCACATATTTATTTAATCTATTAAATGCTATTAAATCATAGTTTGCATTAGTTATGCACAGAATAAATATCATTGATATTTGTTTAACAAATTAACAAAGGTTTTGCGGGCCGATTAATTTCATTGTTTGAGCTTTAAACATTTATTGAAATTATTTACTTCTGCTTCGGCTTGCGCAATAAATATGGCGCGATTGCCGCAACGCTTGCAGCAGGGCGATAAAAATTAACGGTACTTAATACCAATATGGAAAATCATTAAGTGATTTATCGACGCACGGAGAGAGAGAGAGGGAGAGACTGAGAGAGAGGGAGTGAGGGAGAGAGAGGGAGACAGCTTAATACAAATGAGTGAGCAGCAACAATATATATATCGGGGGGCGATTAATATTTGTCAGCGCACTTAAAGCACTTTCCGGATACAAAGCCGGCAAAAACAAAGGGTGCTGTAGTTGAAAATGCCCGACTAGGAGATACCCTGCACACGCTGCTAACAACAGCAAATGCAGCTTGAGTTGAAGTGAAAGTTACTTGATCTGTAAAAACTATTCTGGGAGATACGTGTCAAGTTTGGTGCGGGATTTGCGCTAAGAACAGAATATCGTTATCGATTTTTATCGATTGCTGTGAAACTTGGGCAAGTTATCGATTATCGGACAGGCAAACTGGGGATGCGCTGGCACTAGGAGGACCTACTTTCAAAATTTCAAGGCTCCAGCTCTTGTAGGATCTGAGATCGACCCGCTTATACACCCGACCCGCTTTTGCTGTTGATCAGGAATATATATACTTCATGGCCTCGGAGATGTTTCCTTCCGGCTGTAACATACAAATACACATAACCAATATACCCTTTTTAACACCTATCCAATGGGTACAGGGTATGAAAAACAAAAGGTATTTACGCACGTGAAAATATAATAATAAAAGCACGTGAAGGATATAACTTGTTATTGTCCGGCTACGACTACGGGAATTACGCGCATAATATCCGACTTTTATGAGGCCAGAAAAAAAAAAGAACAAACATTTAAGGTCTGCAATATTTTTGCCAGACTAATTTCGTCACGGGACGGGAATAAAACTGGGAAAAACTTCTACAAAAAAAGTTAAAAATTAAATATTTATAGATTTTCTTAAAGTAATCCACTTTGAGCTTATTTTAAGAGCACTTTGCGACTTGAGTTAAACTAAATGCAATTTTTTGCGCATTTTCTTTAACGAAAAAGTAAGTTAAATATATTTTCCAAATACAGCTTTCGGGTTTATATCGATCTTATTCGGATCAAAGAACTTTCTCACACTTCATTTTGTTAATAGTTTTATTTATTATTGATAAACATATAGATATGTACAGTTTCGCATCCTAGAATACAGTTAAACGCATTTCATAATACAAATACAGAGTTAAACAATGTCAAAATTGCGGCTAAACAAAAAGCATTTTCTACGGAAATTTCCAGCAAATTTTTTCCCCTAATACAAACGCAATAATATCATCAAGAAATACGAGGAAAATTGGAAAAATAATATTGTATATAGAACACAAATAAAAGGTAAAAGGAAGAAAAAAATAATTGTAAATTTTAATAAACGGCAAAGAAAATGGGGAAAATCTTTTGCACGTTTCGAGCACACACCTGTGTGTAACTGTGTGTGTGTGTGTGTGCGTGTGTGTGGGGGGGGGGGGGGTGGGTCAATTAACAAACGCGCCACATAAATTTCAATATCGAATACACATATTCGTTTTTGGTATTTGTTTAATCAAGATAAACGAGCGTCGCGCCTGCCACACGCAGCACACACAGGTGAAAAGCCAGCACCAATGTGTGGATATGGATATGGATACGGAATATATATATATATATATAGGTGTGTATATGGGAGGAGGAGGTGCTATTCGGGCGCCGCTTTGAGCATCAGCGTGGACGTGTAGCTGTGCGCCTGGATTTGCTTCGTTTTGTTTGTGGCATGCAACACGCTGCCCGGCTTGCCATTCGCCAGTGCCTCCCGCTCCGGCTCCAGCTCCAGCTCCAGCACCTCCACCTCCACCTCCTTCTGCTCCTGCTTCTGCTCGACATAACCGACCGTGGTCACCTGCACCGTCGTCTTGGTCAGGTGCAGAGCGCGCTGCAGCGACGCGCGGCGACTGTCGCTCAATCCGTTGCGCTGATCCGGCTGCAGCTGGAGGCGCACCTGACCACCGCCCGCGTTCGACTCCTCGTCATCGCTGTAGTCGTCGCTGGTCAGGGCGGCGCTGCTGCTGCGCATCGAACTGTCGTAGGAGTAGGGCGACTGGAGGCGCGGATGCGGATGCGGCAACATATGGCCAAGGCTCGTGCGCTGCTGCAGCGTTGTGGTCGAGGCGCCGGCGGTGATGTCCTCCTCGGAGATATCATCAAAAGCGGGCGGCGGTGTCGACATGCCCGACAGCATGTTCAGCGCAACGGGACGCGCCGCTCCGCTGCCGCTGTTCGCAGGCGTCGCCGCAAGGGTGGGCGTGCGGGTGAGCGGGGTGCGCAGCTGGGTGGCGGATGTCTTGCGCTTGGAGGGGGAATGTTTGAGCGGAAATGTGGGCGTCTTCTTGAACACCTGCTTGCCCATCGCGTCCTGAAAGCGTTTCGCATAGAACGAGGGCCGGCACACGGACACCGTGTCCCCATTATACAATATGCTCTTGAACGTATGCTCCAGCTTCTTCTCCAGCCGATACGACTGCAGGATGTCGATGATACCGATGTACAACATCAGGCGTTCGTCGTTCTCCGAGCGGGCTGGTATGCCGCCCTTGGGCTCGTCCACGCCCTCCTCGAGCGTGGCATCCAGATCGGCGGTAATCGATTCCATGGCCGTCGAATGGGCCACCAGACGTTGGCGATTCATGCTGCGCGTCCGATTCAGACCCGCCGCCGCCGACGCCGAGGTGCCCGGTATGGAGGCATAGGAGGAGACCGGCTGCAGCTGGTTCAGCTGATCCGCCTCGGGCGCATCGTCGTCCGTGGCAAGCGGGGCAACATTGCCGCCGCCCTCGCGTCGCTGCAGCTTGGCGCGCGCGTTGCGAATGCGCTCCTCGCGCTTCTCCTTGGCCGCAATGTCCAGATTGTGTATGCCCACCAGCAGGGAATAGTCCATGATCTGGAAGCTCTCGAGCACCATGCAGTCCCGCTTGATGGTGTTCATCAGAGCCGTATAGGTGTCCGCCTCCAGGAAAATGCCATTCGGATGATGCTCCGCAAAGTCGAGATCCTTGAAGGTGGGACTCGCCTTTTGGCGTTCCGCCTTGGAGGCCTTGCGCCTAAACGTCGAACCCTTCAGATCGTATTTGGCGTGCATCTTAATGTCCGACGGCAGCAGATTGTTCATCGCCACCAGCCGCACATTCTTCGAGTTGTAGTGGAAACAGTAGAGTCCAAAGAATTTGGGCAGCAGCGTGCGCGGATTCTGGGAGAGATTCATATAGTAGCCGGGCAGCAGTTTCTGCAGGAATTCGCACTCCTTCTTCTGCACCGTCTTGATGATGAACTCATCGTCGTCGGTCAGATAGAATATGGAGCCCGAGGCGCCCGGATTGGATAGTTCGCGCATCGGCGACGCGCACATCGACATGAGAAAGTCATCCGGTTCGATGTGAAACAAATCTCGGAAATAACGAAACGCTATCGGCGCATAAACCTTGAACCGGAAGTCGCTGTAATGATGCGCCGGCGTCAGCGAGGAGCCATCGGGCGGAAAGGCGATCGTCTCCATTTCCCAGAAATCGTTCATCAACAGATCCCGCTTCGGCTTATTGGCCAGACTGCCGACCGTATGCTGTATGCCCAGCTGAATGGAGCCCATTATCTGCTTCGACTGGATCTTCTTGTAGGTGACCTCGCCGCCTTCGGCGACCCGCCGATGACCGATCTTCTTCTCGTGCCGGCCGCCGGTGGTCGAGGGATTCCGTGAGACCGTTGCATCCGGCATGGGCAGCTGTGTGGCCGCAATATAGTTCTGCTCCTGCTGCACCAAGGCCAGCGAGTCGAGTCCGCCGTGTGCCGCCGCCGCCTCTTTGAACAGTTGACGCGACGTGCCGGCCGCCAGCGGCGTCGGTGTGCTCGGCGGCAATGCGGGCAACACCTGCAGCACCTGTTGCACCTGCTGCGGCTGCTCATGTATCGAGTTGACCGAGCTGCCATTGTTGTTGTTGTTTTTGGGCGTCAGGAGCAGCGGCTGCAGCTGCTCCAGTTGCTCCTCCGTGGAATCGGCCGGATCCTTGCTGCTGCTGTGCTGCTTTTCGAGCGGCTGCAGCTCCAGCTGGATGTGTGTCTCCATTTTGCTGTGGTAAATTATATATTGATTAGAGTGGAGGCAAGCTACAAATGTGGCCAATGGCAATGACTCTCAAACTGTAAAAAAGCAACGCGCTCGCAACTGTGCAGCTCAACTGTTGTGTGTGTGTGTGTGTGTGTGCCTGTGTCTGTGTGGATGATTAAGCTCGGATGTGGGCTAAAAAAATATATATGTCACGTTTGCAATTGCACAATAAAACCCCAAGTACAGTGCACACTCGTAACAAGCAAATCAAGGTCGAACTACAAAAATGCGAAAAAATTATCTCGCAATATTTAAATTAATTTGTTTACGCTTTTTTCTAGCTTTATCGTAGCGAAAAGTAAAACTATTATTTAATGCAAGCTAAATTAATTTGAAATTTGTTAAGTTATTTATTTTTTTTATATAAATTGCATTATTTTATTCGATTTAAAAACAAACTATTAATTTTAATGCAAATTTAATTTATCTTAGTTTTTCTTTTAATTTTCATATAAATCGCATTTGTTTTTCATCAACAATTTATTTTATAATATTTTTTTTATGTATTTTTATTAATATTTTTCGAAATACATTTTATTGAAATATTTATTATTTTACATATACAAATTAAATTTATTTTATATATTTTTATTTTTGACATAAATTGCATTAATTTTTTTCCCTAATCATATTTTAATGAAAAAAAAATTATTTTTATTGAATTGATTTTTTATTATTTTTTATATAAATTGCATTAACTTTTTCGGATCGACAGTTATATTATTACTTTTGATTTAAGTTAAATTAATTTTAAATTTGTTTTTATTATTTTTTTATATGAATTTAATTAATTGCCTTTCTATTTTTATTTTTATTTTATTTCAATACTTTCCCTTTAACTACACACAAATCCTATTTATAAATACTTTTCAATTGCATGACTTTTATATTTTATTTATATTGATTTATTATGCAGCTGCGTTCGTCATAGCGTACGTGCACTGTGCATACATATAAATTAATAAATAAAATCAGCTGCAGTTGAACGGACAAAGCTGCATTCGATTTTCTGCTCTGTTTTGCGTACTTCTTCTTTTATTTCTTGGGATTTATTTCCCACTTGACTTACTCAGCAGCAGCTGGATGCGAAACCCCCTGCCCCTCCCCCCCCCCCCCCCCCTACCCTGCCAAGCCGCGCCCAACACCTAATACGTTGCTTATCTTTGTTTACACAATGTGCAAAAGAAACGACAACAACAACAACAACGACGAAAACAATTGCAAACAATTTTATCGCACGCACACAGCAAATATGAAGCGTGCGCCGTGCATGTCAAACTGTGTGCCAGAGTGTGGATCTGTTACGGTTTACAGCTAACAGCGCAGTGTAATTCAAACTGTGATTCGCTCTTCCATTTGTCATTGGAATTTCATGGAAATGTTTTGCAATTAATAAACACAAAATGCCAATAAAAATCAACAATACACAATTTAATTGAAATTATGGCAACAAGCCATTATAACAATTGTCCGTAGCTAAAAACATTTAAATATATGTATTTTGATTTAGAAATGGAAAGCAAATGTGCACAAAAATAAACTTTTACGTGTATTTATTTTTGAACTTTTTGTCACACACGCTCTTCAATTATGTATATTTGGCATTAAAAAAAAATAACGGAAAGTTTTTCCGTATTATATATTTCATTTTTGCTGAATGAATATATGTATGCATATAGCATATAGATATATATATGTATGCATATATCGTGAGTGTTTTATTGGCCTAGCGAATGCCAAACTGTGGGCGTTAACTTAAGCAGCGGCTGGCATTTTATCTTATCAGAATCCGCCGAATGAGAACGTCACAAACTCTATTAAATAACATCATAAATTATTGCAAAACAGGTTAAGTAACAGTTAACAGAGCCCAGAGTTAACAGAGTTTGACGCCTAACAGTCATGGAAAATATTTGATTACAATTGTTTTGCCGTATTTGTTGTTGCTTTGTTTTACACACACAATTTATGAGCTTGCAATTAAACGCGTTGCCTTTTAGTTTTCTGTTGTTTTTTTTTTTTAGTTTTTTGCCATTTGAATAAATTTATTAGCGTACTTACACACAAAAATGCTCTGGGGGAAACGCCGCCAAAGGTCAAACGCACGCACACAACAACACAACGTTTTCGTATAAAGCGTGCCTGTGTGCGTGTGTGAGTGAGCAACAAGTCGCTGCTGCTGCGCTTGTATTGGAAGTGGTCTCGTCTAGCGCTCCAACTCGTCTGCTGAGCGGTGCGAGTTCTTCGATTTGGCTTCTCTCTTTTATTTACGCACACAAATGCAAACAGCTCTGCTGCTGCGCTGCTTTTAGCTCTGGTTCCTGTTGTTGCCTGCACGATCAGAGAGAGCGTTCTTTTTGTTGTTTTTTTTTTGCTTTTCTGCTTTTCTGTTATTGCTTCTTCTTCGTCGTTTCGTTTTGTTGTAGTTGGCGTTGTTCTTGCTGCAGCTTCGCTGTTTGTTGTTAGATTTCCAGTTGATAAATTGCTTTCATAATTTACAAAAATCCAACAACAATTTCAATGAGTGACTGTCTGGCAGTGTCTGTGTGAGTGTGTGCGTCTGTGTGTGTGTCTCTGATGACGTCGGCGCAGCGGCAAACAGCAAATTTCTTTTATGTTTCGCGTAGCAGCGACTGCGGCAGCCGCATGACGACCCCGAACGTCTCGCGCAGCCCCTAGAAAAATGAAACTCACTCGCGCACACACATCTATACAACAACAACAATTTTCTAGGCACTCGATTGATATTGAACACAAAGTGAAATCTTTTCTCTTTTCCTTTTCCCTTTTTTATTTTTATTTGTATTTCTATTTTTCGATGGAAGCGCCGCAGCCCAGCTGGCCAAGTCATACGCGCAGTGTGAGTCAACTTTGTAGAATGAAGTGTTGCGCTGCGTCGAGCGGCGGTTCGCTTGTGGGTTAGAGCAGTGCAGCTAGCTGTGCGCGCGCGACTGAGTCAACAGGCTAGGCCAGGCCGTGCAGTGCTGTAAAATGTGCCCACAAACAGTGTTGCGCTACATAAACAACTGCTGGCGCCATCTAGCTGTCGGCGTCAAATAACGATCAACAGCCCTGTCGATAGACACTGCGAATCGCACGTTAATTTTTTTGAAATGCCCCAAAATCTAATTAAAATATATATCTATTTGAATGACTGTGTGTGATTATATGTGTGCATGTGTGTGTAGCGAACGGTAGCTAAAAGCATTTTGCTTAGTGCGGCTTAACTAATTAGATTAGGCCGGCCACAAAGTGTGCCCTGAAGCCTGCCAAGCAACGCTGCCAAATGAAAGCCGCCGCATTTTGTGGTGTTAATTTACAGCAACAATTTAATGCGCCTCATTAGCAGCGACTGCGGCCGCAATTTTCAATTGATTAAGAAGAAGAAGAAGAAGAAGCAAAACAAATGGGGGATACAGCAATCGATATTTGTGACCAGTGATGAGTAATTTTAATAGAGGCTCATTAAAAATCCAACGAAAACACGAAAGAAAAACGTCTCATTACAAATGCCCAGCAGCTCAGACGGGGAACAACAATTGCCACGCCCCCCCCCCCCTCCGTCCCCCTGCCACTCCCTTGACATTACACGTTTTGTGTATTAACAATTAAAGGTGCCTGCGCGACCAGTGTTTAAAAGCGCTCAAATTTATGCACATTCCGAATCGCTGAGCTGTTCAATTGTGCTGGGCGGGCTTGGTCAGTGAGGGGCTAGGTGGAGGAGGGAGGGGGGAGGGGGAATTTTACTTTTCCGTGTGATTGAAGAAAATTTCATCCATTTTGTTGGCTCTGCTTTGTTTAATTAGCGAATCGCTAGGCAAATGTGCCGACAAATCAAATTCATATGCAAATTACAAATATTAATAAAGTTGTTTTGCTATTAGATGCCCCCCCCCCCCCCCTCTCTTTCGCCCACTTTAAACAGGTTTTGAGTTAACATCGTTTTAGGGTATCGGATTCCATACTCAGCTAGATTCTCGTTATGTGCTGCGGGAGCCTAATTAATTGCGCTTTATCCAAATGTTGACAAATGCAAATCAAACATATTTATGATTTGTGGACAGTCAAATACCCTGTAATTTAATTATGACTAGTCAGCCAAGCTTTAGCTTTTGTTTTACAAGTGAAAAACGTGACAATTCCACACGCAGGCGTGGAAAATTCGTGGAATTCTCGAAGATCTCACGTTCTTTTCGTATTTACTGCGTCTTCTGTGTGTACTTTTACAGGGTATTCGGCTCATAATTTATGCAACATGCGTCGCAACAGAAGCAGCTGGAACGGCGACAGTTAACGGCACTTTTCCTATAAGCCAAACACAATCGAGGCCTCAGACCAAAGACGTCTTAACATGTCGCTTGAATTTTGATATCACGTCGATAACAAAAGCGATTCCCGATTAATTACGAATGTGTTGAATAAATTCTCGTAATATTCGTATTTAAAAGTTCGTTGCGTTCGTCGCACCCAAATGAAAGGCCCCACAATTATTTATGGAACTTTTGAATGCGAGCATTACAAAAGAAATTAAAGCTAAAAGAGTAGTTTTGTCAAACTTTTTACAGCATTTATCCCAGTTTCATTTCTTTTAAATAAGCTGATGGAAAAATAAGCAGGCTGCATTTGATGAAAATCATGATTTCATGTGAGAAAGTAAGCAAAAAACTTCTGCTTAATGCAAACAGATTTAAAAGAGAATTATTACGACACAGGTTTTCTCTATTGATTTGTCTTCAATTTGTAGGCTTATATGAAAATGCGGGCATGTGGAAGTGTTGTAAAAGTATCTAATAGTAGGAGAAGTCTTCGAAGTCGTAATGTTTATGTGTATCTTACATCAAGGCTAGCTGATCAAGTTTTCTAAATGCAATATCGATAAGTTGCACAGTTTTACAGAAATCGATAAATATCGATATACCGAAATCGATAAATACCAATAAGAGCTGATTAAGTATTTATATTCGAATTATCGATAAGTTGGACAGACTTATCGGAAGCGATACATATCGATAAGTGAGAGTTGATCAAGTGTTTATAACCGAACTATCGATAAGTCGTAAAGCTGTTCATGAATTCGATACATAACGATATTTGATAGCTTGAGAGCAGTTATACCGAAATCTTTAAATAATGACATTTGTGAGCTGATCAAGTGATATTCATCGAACTATCGATAAGTCGCACAGTTGTACCGAAATCGATAAATATCGATGGAGCTATTGATTTGACTTTGAGTATTTACAAACACTTAGATGCCTTCTTTAAGACCTTAAAATATCATAAACATCGGACTGTAGACAGATTTAAGCTTTAACTATTCAAAAAATTCGATTGACAGACAAAAATATCTCAGCTGCGTTTGCTGCGCTAATGACAGGGTATCTGCTAGTCGAGCTAAGAGCTCACTTCTCTATTCAACTGCTTTGATAATTGTTGTTATTATTTTTATCAAATCAAATATATTATAGATTGCATGCCAGGCCGAAGATGGAGACAGTTTCGACTGGCTTTCGAATCGGATTTACTTAATTAATCGCCAGGTCAATTTATGAAGCCGCAACAGCTTTTAAATAGTTTTGACATCAAGTGGCCAATGATAAATAAAATAAAAATAATGCAAAATGTGCAAAAAGAAAGAAAAAAAGGAAATAAATCGAATTGAATAAATGCAAAATAAGCGCAATAAATTTTAATCGCTGTGTTAAGCATTTGCCATTTGTCGGTTCCGTTTGTTGTTGCTGCTGCCAAAACTGTTTCGCTTTTCATAATTGTTATTATTATTTATATAATTATTATTATTAATATTATGAGTGAAAGGGGGCAGGGCCCCGCCTCGCAGCTGTTGCACTGATTATAATGCAAATTATTTATTTAATGCGCTGCACAGAAAATTCCCCTTTTTTTTCTGCTGCTCTTTTTCTGCACTTTTTTCTGTCGCTTTTTATTCTACTTTTTGCGAATTGCATAATTAATTGTTGTCATTCAAGTGACAAACAATTAAATAATAAATCAGTTTTTAAATAATTGCGCAATTATGTTAAATGGACACGCGGTCACAATTCAAGAGTGCGGGTGAAAAGCAAAACTTCCTCGTGTTTAACACTTGACTCTGTGAACCGTCCGACCCCAACATTTTTTTTTTGCTCTCTAGAAATTCAATTCAAGCTGTGATTCATATGAAAGAACATGAATGAGGCATATACTTATGTTTCGACAAGTTTAAATACCCTGCACTAATTTATTCAGCTTTCGTTTAGCTGAGCGTCGAACCAGCAAACGGAAAGTCGCTGGTTCAACTTATGCTAAAATGTTGCATTTTTACATATTTATGTTTTAGCACTAATTCGGCAGTTTTAACTGCACCTTTCTTTTGGCTCAGCGTCGAACCAGCAAACGGAAAGTCGCTGGTTCAACTTATGCTAAAATGTTACATTTTTGTTATATTTATGTTTTAGCTTGTTTTTATGCACCAATTCGGCAGTTTTAACTGCAGCTTTCTTTTGGCTCAGCGTCGAACCAGCATGCGAAGATCGCTGGTTCAACTCTTACAGAAATTTGCAATTTTTATGCAATTATCTATTCAGTTTGATTTGCACTAAGCAAAAGGCAATCATTGAATCTTCCCTTCGGCTAACTTTTGTAAGCGTCGAACTAACAAGTGTGAAGTCGCTAGTTCAACTTCTGCAGAAATGTTCAATTAGTATATATTAATCAATAAAATTGCATTCTATGCACTAAGAAAAAGGCAATTACAATGCATCAATTTGGAACATCACGTCGCATTCCATCCCAAAAGCCTGATACCCCACCCACACGTAGGGTATTCGAAAAATAATAAGAAAAACTCGTAATTGAATTACGCTTTTTTGTAATTGCAAACACATTTGTAACAATAAACTAATGTAATGCAACAATAACAATTGCCAAATGGCCGTTAAATAGAATTTTACTGTTTGCCAATGCTCGAAATTTATGACACATACACACAGAGCACAAAGCAATTCGCCCAACACTGGCGCACTGACTCAAAGCACATTACTCAACACTGGAGCGACAAGCGGCCAAACAGAAGGCTCCTATTACAATTGCCAGCCATTGTTCAAGTTAGTTATGAACACTTGGCCAAATGTTAAGGCCAAAGCATTGTCAATAGTAGAAGTACCCCCCCCCCCCCCCCCGCTCTCTTCATGCCTCCTGCCCCTGCGACCCTCCCCAAGCATTCGATCCATTTAGGGGCAACGCGCTTGGCATTTTCAATGGAAATTTTAATGAATTCGCCTCGAATCAAACATTAATTCTCTATAATTACCCACAATCGACAATCGAGAATCGAGAATCGAGAATCGCATCGGTATTCGCTTTATGGAGCGCCGAACTAACGGTAGCTAATGCTCATTGTCATTGATATCGAATCGGATCGGATGGGATCTGGGCGGATCTGAACGGATCGGATCTTGGCCAAATGTGAATGTCGCTCCGTCGCACAGTTGACTGAACTTGCGACTGGTTTTCCTTCTGTGTGTTCCGTGTGTTCTGTTCTGTGTTGCATGCCACTTGCTGTCGCCGCCTTGTAATCAACTTAAATAACGCCCTGACATGGTCAGTTACGGCAGCAGCAGCAGCAGCAGCCGCAGCAGCATCTACTCTAAATGGCTGCTCTTTAGCAGCAATCAGTGGGAATCGCGTGTGGCATGCCACATGCCGCTGCTGCTGCACAACAATTTGCTGCCAGCCAACTTAATCAAAATATCAACAATTGCAATTCATTTCGCGCAGATAACAACAAATTGTTTATAAATTGCAATAACTTAAGATTATTCACGACTTTCAAATTGATTAGGTGCCAAATGTTCATTAAAGGGGCGAAATTATGAGTGCGAGGGTTCTTTAAAAAACTCTTTCGATTTAGTCTAAATATTCCAAAGGTTGCAGATGTTTATTCATGGAACTCTCATAATTTCAATACAAATTCGAGAAAAAGAATTATAAAAATTCGTATTAATTTTAAAGAAAAATTAGTTCATAATAAGAAAATCAAAATTAAATTCTTTTTGGCATCAGTTTAAATTTTGACAGAGCTATAAGACTTCACAATTTAGAATAGTTAGGATGCATAAACATTAAGCGAAAATATTGGTTCTAGATTGTTAGAGATCTATCTATATATCTATTTCTATCTTTACCTCTATCCCTGTGTCTACCTCTATATTTATTTCATTCTTATTATCTATCTCTATCTCTGTCTCTAGATTATAGAAATCACACCAAACATTTAATTATAGTATTAATCTTATTATAGAAGAAATATATATAACTTTTGAAAAATTTGCACTCTTGTCTATGTCGAATTTTTTTGGTAAACCTTTTTTACATGAATTTTACATGCATCTTAAAAAGACTTAATTGTAAATTGATCTATTTAGCTGTATAATTAGACTAAAGGTCTAATCATAATCAACAAGCTATTCTTCAACAAAATCGTTTAGGTTTAGAAAAAGTTGTGATAGTTTAAGATTTGTGCCCTTAACCATATGGATTTTGTTAGGTTAATATTTGTACACGAACTTCGACAACATTTTTAGTTGTTTAAGATAAATGTAGAATGGATCTAGAGCTTAAATCATTAACAAAAAGACAATCCTCAGCAAAATCGGTTAAGTTTTGAACAAGTTATGATAGTTTGAAATTTGTACTCATAATATCCTTTGGAATTTTTACATGAATTGCGACTAAAATTTACTTATAGAATGTATCTACTTAGAAGCAGAATTAATGTGGAGGTCAGATCATAATCAAGGAGCTATTTCTTTTAAAAATCGGTTCAGTTTGGACGAAGTTATGATAGTTTGGAATTTCTATCCGAGATCCTATGGATTAGATTCTTAGATCCTTTAAGGATTACAATGCTTATTAATTAATTAATTAAGTAGATTAAAAGCAGAATTAATCTGGAAGTTATGATAGTTTAAGATTTGTATATATATAATCTTTTGGATTTTCATTTGTTACATGAATTTCGACAAAATATTCCCCTTCGAAACTTAAAAGAAGAATCATTCTAGAGATTTAATCATAAACAAAAAGTCATTCCTCATCAAAAGTCGGTTTAGTTTAGACCAAGTTCTGACAGTTAAAAGTCTGGGATAAAGCCACACATCTGTTTTCGGGAAGATTGCTTTTTATATAGTAGTGCTAAAATCCGTTCAAGCTTCCTCATTTCGCAAAGCATCTCCATAATAAGTAATTCCCATTTCCAGCAAGCTTTTTGGCTTAGTCAACTTTTTTCTGCTGCAGCTTCTGGCGGCTACTCATGATCGGAGAGGGGAGAGAGATCGTGGAGGGGGTCACATATACATACATACACATATCTGCCAGGCTATCCCCGACGCATTTGGTTTCTCAGAGCTGCGTATGACTCATGGGATCTACGGCAAGTTATAAACCTCACAGAGAACATAAAGTTATAATAAAAATAAATAAAAAGGCAAACAAAGCGCGCGCCCCAAACATGACGATGCCTGAGTCATAAACGGGGGGGGGGGGGGCGGTGGGTGGTGGGCGTGGCACAGCGGGTCCTTCGCATTGCTTGTAATTACACCGATAAGAGTGGAGCGGGAGGAGGGGAAGGGGGGCAACTGTTTTAATGAGGGGCGTCTAAATAGAAGGTACATTAAATGTTTTTATTTTCATTGATAAGCTCCACAAATATGCATTTTACGCGTAAACCCAAGCACTTGCTTATTGGGGTCAGGCATAAACGTAAACTTGTCATAAATATAGGTACAGTAAACACTCTACTGACGGACAAGATAACTGAGTAGGTATCTACAGCAATTTCAATAATTTGTAATTTTTTTGTAATTTTTGCGCGCTTAAAAATCAACCAATAATAAATCTAGATACAATCTACAAATTGTGATTACGTTTTCCAACACTCTTTTCCTTTACGTGTATTTAAATAAGTGGATGTTCGCTCCAGTGAGCTCTCACTGTATTAGCTTGATGGCAAACTTACCGTTATTGTTGTTGTCGGTTATCGATAAACAAAGTCGAGGTAATCCCAAGTTTATATTGCCGTTGATACGGAGGGAAATATGTATTTTAAGCACGTGTCATACGAATATGGTACACAAAACACAACACATTAAACAGTAGTGTGAGGGAGGGGGGTGTTGGGGATGGTACACCCACAAATATATATATATATATTGTAAATAGTTTTACACTGTGCAACGGTAAACAGCGAGTTGGACACACGCACACGAAAAGACGTAAAACCGGGTGAATGAATTGTTGTGAATGAAACGCGACGATCGCAGCGTTTGCGTCTGCGTTGTTCGAACGTTTGCGGCCGAATGACTGTGCCGAGGCGTCAACGTTGCTAACAGACAGCGCTGCCGTGTGAAAGAGCGTAAGCCACTGAGAGAGAACCAGAAAGACACAGAGAGAGAGAGAGAGAGAGAGAGAGCGAGAGGGCACACGCGCTATCAGCCTAAGCGCAGCTGCTGCTGCTGCGCCCAGTCTGCCTCTGACTCGGGTTCTGCGTTATTGTTGTTGCTGCGCTTGCTGATGTTGTTGTTGTTGTTTGCTTATTCATATTGTACACAAAGTTCGCATAATGCAGCGCATTGTTCGCCCCATTGCTTGTTGTAGTTGTTCGTGGTGGTTTCTGGTTCTGCCGTTGCCGCTGCCGCTGCTGCTGCTTCTGCTTTCTTGCTGTGTTTCTTATCACACGCTCTGCCGTGACGTATGGCACAGCTGTGTGCGCTCACCTAAACCGGTACCAAATGTGCAGAGAGCACAACAACAAAGAGAGTGCGAGCGTGTGAGCGTGTGATCTTTGCTCTCTCTCTCTCTCTCCCTTTCTTATACTGGGCATGCGCGGCATTCCATTCATTTTTGATTCTCAGCTGTCGTGATTTTCTTGATCCCTTGAGTTGTTGTTGTTCTTGTTGCTGTTATTCTTTTGGCTCTTCTTCTTCTGCGTCTGTTCTTCTTGCATAATTACACAAATTTTTGGCGCTTATTTTTGCGTTGTGTCATTTGCACACGTTAATTGGGCGGGCTGCGAGGGCTGCTCGAACAGTTTGAATAACTCTTTTACGAAGCGCAGGCATTTCCGTTACGAAATATTGGTTGTTATTGATAAGTTAACGGGTCTTGCGCAAGTTCTTAGCTCTGAATGGCTGATTAGATTCTCAATAGTTTATGGCCAGTTGTGTAAACATTTAGGTAGCTGATCAAGCAGCCAGACATGAGTATATACATATGTATGTATGTATGTATGTAGACGAACGACTTTCGTCACTTTAATCGACTTTTTCAGCTCTTCACGTGCCCCACTTTAGGTCTCAGTCCAAACGAATCGACGTCAATTAAACAATTGAATACTCGTAATAAATATTATTATGACCGCCGCCCATCTGACAACCGCAAACAATTAAAGCCACCCACGCTCGAATTTAAAGCAATTTTGCCAATTTTATAACAATTTTCAGCTGGAAAGCGCGTTCTCGAGTGCGTCTGCGGGCGCGAGTGCGTGAAAGTAGTTAAAAAGCAAGACGCAGAGGGCATAGGGGGGGGGGGGGGGTAGTGTGGGTGAAGTAATCACCGAGACATATGCAGGTGTATGTGTACGTGTGTGTGCGTGTGTACGCAAGCAAATTAAAATTGAAAACAAGCGAGAATGTAAAAGACAAGAGAGTGCACGACTCGCGCATACCCTGTAAAAAGCTTAGACTGAAGGTAAATTATGCAAATATAAAATAGTTTGAGTATATAATTAAAATACATAAATTAACTAACAATTAACTGTTATTTATTCTAGTTTAAAGCATTTATTAACATTATTTGTTCAGTTTAATCCTTAAAGTAAAATACATAAATTACAAATTATTGTATTTTTATATATTCTAGTGTATAGCACTTTTTATTATTCCTGTTTGTTTACTTTAATCTCTTACGAGAAAAACACAGATTCTTTATTCTAGTTTATAGCGTTTATTATCAATATTTATTTCCTTAAATCTTAGGGACCTCAAAACTTATTTCCTTATGAAAGCTTCCCTTCAACTGTTCTTTAATTTTAAGATATGCTAAATACTATTATTTAATTTAGTTTAAGGTTTTTTATATTAATTTACAGTGTATATAAGACGTCCATTCATCAAATTTGAACTACATGTTAAATTTATATCCTTGCCGCTTTGGACTGCCGAGAGTTCTGAGAGACGTTATACCCCTCATAGCTTTTCTATAGGGTATGGCAATTGTTGTCGTTGCAAGGAAAATAAACTTTGCAACAAGAATGTCGAACTATTTACAAAGAAGAGAATCGTGCAGAGCACACACACACACAAACACACACACACACACACACACACACACACACACATACGTAGATACATTCATATGTGTGCAGAGGAAGACACAGGGCACATAAAGAAAGTTCAGAGTGCACACGGTGAAAGGAATTTCGTTTCGACGAGCAATATAATTTGTCAGTTCAAAGACCTCTGCACGTGAGCGCAACAACAACAGGGTTAGAAAAGGATAGCAAGAGGCAGAGGAGCACGGGATGCACACACACACACAGACACACACACACTAGAATCTACGTGCATATTTCGCCCGAGATGTTTACACTGAGAAGGAGAGAAGAGTTAGAGGAAGAGGAAGAGGAAGAGCGGTAGACAAATGTGCCAAGTGTGCAGACGTGAGCAGCGCTCGAGCCGCGGCCCGTGCCGTCGCCGTGTTCACGTGTTTTTCCTCCCTCGCCTCGCCCACATAAAAAATGTAATCAATGTATTTTTGTCACGTTAACGAAATTTAGACTGCCTGCAACAGAGAATGCAACAACAACAACAAGAACAGTTACTCTTGTGCCTCGAGTGCAGCTGCCTTCACTCGAAGAAAAACTCGGGTCGAGTTCGTACCTCTACGTTTTTCCCATACAAATTGCCAGCAATTTTCATTATTCAATTCTTATAACTCTTATTCCAATTCAAAATTGATCCCTAAGCCTAAAAAAGAGGATAATTTCTTTATTTAAGCAAAAAGTTTTTCTTCTACAAGAATTTTAGTACTTGAAATAAGCATAAATCCTTCTCAAAAACTATTTCTATTTGAATTTTGCATTTAGATTTTTCGTTATAGGCACAAAAATGCTTGAATTAAGTTTTTGTTTTACAATTTTAAACTTGCTTTAAACAAAATTTGCGCTTGATTTATGTTTTTTCATATAAATTTCTATCACATTTCATTATAGAATTTTTCAAAAAAATAAGAAAACTCTTAATTTAAGCAAAAACTTCTTTAACCAAAAACTTGCATGCTTGAACTAAGCGTAAAACCTCCTCAAAACTCAAAACTTAGATATTTCGGCCCTAGAACAAATATGCTTGAAATAAGATATTTTTTCACAATTTCCAACTTGGTTTGAGTCAACATTTGCGCTTGACTTAAGTACAAAATCTCTTGATGTTTTCTGCGAGTGTTTGAAATAAACATAAATTCAGCTGCTGCAGTTTCTGCTGTGCCGTGCAAATTTTGGCAACAGCGCAGTCGAAATCCGAGCGCACAAAGGATTCGGTATTAGGTACACACACACACACACACGCACACACACATACATGAAATGTCACTGTCGTTTGCTGTAATTATCCTGGAAACTCAAATTGAAACTCAACCAAAATGTCGCAGCTGCCTTTGGCTCGAGCGTCCGCCCGTCTCCCTCTCTCGTACGCGCGCTCTCTCTCTCCCTCTCTCTCCCCCTCTCTCTCTCTCTGCCTCTCTCGCCCAATTCAATTGCTCAATTGCATGTTTGTTAGTTCATATAATACCCGCTAACCCCCGTCCCCGTCCCCTTGGCTGGCAGTGATGTGTGCCTTATGCCACGACTTCCGTGCACATTCACCCCCCGTGCAGCAACATGAACTGCGACTGAAGAAAACTTAAGTGCATCATGCGGCAGCGTCTGCCAGCTGTCTGCACCCCGGACTCAGTTGCCCCGCCCCTCACCACCTCGCCGCGCCTCAAGTAATTGAGTCGAACGTTATCTTCGCTGATGTCGCAACTATTTCGATATGCTGCATTGGTAAATTTATGAGCAGCGCATTTGCTTTTGCCTTGGCTATTTATGTAGGATAAACTAATTGCCTAACGGTACTTTAAATGCAGCGCACACAAATCGACCTATCGATAACTCGACAATTGCCCAACGTATCTGCCTTAAGTTTGGCATGCGAGTGCCTTGAAAGTTTCGGGGTAGACAATGCAGTTTAGTTGGGATAAGAAAATTTGAAAAATGAATTTGAGTTTTTTTATGAGGGTAGCTTTCCAGCGAATTGCTATTCCACTTCCAATTACCATTCCAACCATTCCAAGATTTATGTGACTTTTAAGCAGCGTACTAGGCTTAAAGATATGTACATAAGAATCTTAACCTATCCATATCTATTTGAAATTCTAAAGCTTTTCATAACTACTTCTGCTTAACATATTCCTAGATCAGCGTACTATCCTCCACTACTGTGGCATACCACAATTTATAATTATATCTACCACTCTGTATGTTTTAAGATATGTACATGAAATTCCTAACCTATCCATATCTATATGCAATTATTAACCTTACCTAACCCAACTTCTGCTTTACATATTCCGCTTAAGCTCAAATGAGCTGCGTACCATTCTGCACAGCTGACAAATACCGTAATTCTATCAACTACTTATCTCAGCATACACTGCGATAACTGACGAAACAAATCCCAAACATTCTTCAAACTTGTGACTCACTCGCGCTTAAGCCAAATCTTTCGTGTGTCAGCGAGACCAAAAAAGCAAAAAAGAAGAAGGTAATTAATAATAACAGAAAGCGAGAGCGAGAGAGAGCGTGATCTGTGCCGTGATTGAATCACATCACATCATCCGCTCTCCCTCCCTCTCCCTCTCTCTCCCTCTCTCTCTCACTGGCTACCGTTTTCGTTGAGTCAATTTGTGAGCAAAAAGAATAATAAATAAAATGCGCTTATAAGCTGCAAAGGTATCGATATCTCTTTCAGTGCGGCGTGCAATACGACTCCTTGAAGGCGCCTCGAATTGCATATTATTATTATTTTAGCGCTGCTTCAGCGTTTTGCAGTCAGGCGGCGGCGACGTCTTATCAGCAGCGCCGTCGCTGTCTCTGTGTCATCATAAAGTAGAATGGTGAAAGAGGGGGAGGGGGCAGAAAGAAAAAAAAAAGCCATGTGCCATGTGCACTAAAGAAAAATAATTTAACGACGCGAATCGACGCCCCAATGAAATCAAAAACAAGCGCAGACAGCGATAGCGACAAGCAGCGACGTTGACGTCGACAGCA